AAAAAAAAAAAAAAAAGAAAAAGAAAAAAGTAAGCAAACATTTAAAGTTCCTTACAAAGAAAGAAAGTTAAAACTGAACCTATGTGCCTGACTAGAGATATACCACAGAAGGAAAAAAAAACACCAGCAAATACTAGATTTACTGTCTTAAAAGACACACTTATCATCTTTCAAAATTTAGTTCACTACCTTAACTGTAAGAGTTCCCCTATATATAAAATAAGAAACAAGGTAAACACTGTTTAATATAACAATACAAATGACATCTAGTTTCGTAATTATGTCTAAGTTCTAGAGCTACTTATCTTCCATCAAGAGTTTAAAACCTACTGCAAATCAAAGTATTAAAAATACGGGAGTCTTGCAAGTTATGAATGTTATTTTGCTAGATACATAAAACATCTGATATTACTGTGACCAAACACCACTGAAATCCTTTTTGTTTACTGTACTAGAAAAAGCTGGGAAATTTCTAGTTAATGTGATACATGATGAGTTAGAGTGACATTTTGTCTTAAAAGAAAAAAAAAGTTTCAAGGGATGGAAACATGGAACAAAACTTTGAGTAGGAAGAGAACAAGATACTGGTGTAAAGCTAAAGCCAACCTGCTTCCTCATCCTCCTCATCCTCTTCCTCATCATCTGAACTTGATGACAAGGGAGCTGGTGCAGAGCTAGCTTGATTATTAACATATCCACCATACTGCATGCCTGTGAAGTGGAAAGCACAAACATAAGAGTCAGACAGACAGGAAAGATGAGAAACGGAAGTCACAAATCATTGCATTAAATGTGAGAGAAATTAGCCATTCTAGAGAAAATCCCAACATGCAGAAAGTTCAGTCTACAACCCTACCTAGAGAACTATACTTCATATATGACGAAATATACGAGCAGTACATCAGAAGCAGGTTTTAGTGGGCTAGTTTAGCAAAGTATTATTAGCACATGGAAGTTAGCAGACAATTTTACATATATTTGTCTGTGTACGCACATGTATATTAGGAAGTTAAACACACGCACAGACTAGGAAGTATGTTATGTATTTAATATCAGTTTGTCCACTGGAATACTTTCATAAGTTAATATACAGAAATAAACCAGTTCTCAGATAAATTCAAATTGTGTTATGAAAACTTTAAAGTTTTGCTTGGCACACCTGCCCCTTTTAAGACAGGAATAATTGATATTGAAATTCTGAACACTGTCAGAAATTAATGAAATATACTGCTGCTGCAACACGTGAGAGTACAAACATATCTCAGCAACACTGACAGTGAAATTAAAGCTATGTAAACCCATAGTCTTATTTTTAAATTAGTGGTGAAATTCAGGCTCATAGACCCATTTAAGCACCTAAATACATTATCTGCATCTGGTGACAACACAACTGTTACCACTGTCACCTCTAAAGCATAATCTGTAAGGTTTTCTGGTCATATTTTTTTTCGTAGTGGGTTTTTTTGTTTGGTTGGTTTTTTACAATATCTACTCTAAACATATGTCAACAATACACAAAAGCAACACATACATATATCATTTTAAAACAGAATAAAGCATGCAGTAATGACATAATTAATTTCCTACATTGCTCATTACTGATTCAACTTCAGCACCTCCAAGAAAACTTAAGTTTCTCTTGTCCCAGGGCAGGGTTAGCAAGGATATTAAACGTGCTTGTAGTCAGGCAGAGGCATCATAAATAAATGCACTGTTTCTCTCTTAGCAATCCACTGGATTGCTATAGCAAGAAAATAGCCTAATTCTTTAAAACTCTTCAAAATTTTTCAGACTCAGAGTTTGGGATTTTTTTCCTCTGTAGACACACTGTAGCATCACTAGCGTTCATTATTTTAAATAATACTATATATAAAGCACTACAGAAGTGTTGTGTGTTATGCATAATCTGAAATCATGATGGTAATTAATAATCCCTCCATCCACAATTTAAAGCAGCTATATCAATCTTTACTTTAGTTAAACGGCGGGCTAAAAATGCAGTTAGTTTCATGGTTTTTTTGAAAAGGTTTAGCAAATAAACCCAAGAGGACCACTTCAATTTCACTTAAGACAAAACAAGAGAACCAAGGTGAAGAGCATCGATTAAAACAGTGGAAGTAACAAGAAAACAGAGCCAAACCATATCACAACATTCTTGAGAAGCTCAACTTTCATACAGAGATTAGTACAAGGAAGAGACTGACATTTTTTCACTTTATCTAGTGCATCAATACTCCCTACAATTCCAATCAAGTTTATCCACCACACAAGTAGATATAATGATGAAGGCAAAATCAACCCAAGTGCAACTGAGGATGTACAACGCTTGAATTTCTCTATACTGCTAAAACACAGGACTAACTTAATTCATTCATAGTCCTGTCTTTTATGAAGGCTCCTGGATGCACATGATAAGGAGGACACATGAAAAACATTCTTTGTATAAAACCAGCCTAGGAGGCTATGTCTTTTCTCAGGCCTGGGAGAGCTACCAAGGAGCAAGACAAAACGACAGCGTTATTGTGAAGGAGAAAAAACAACTTGAAATAATGAACATGCAAGTAAAAGGGGAAAAAAGTCAGGATGACAAGAAGAGATGGATGGTAACACAGCCAGCCAAAGTAAAAGAAGATGGGTGCAGTGTGAGAGTGCATAGACAGACCTCTAGCAAATACCACGTACACAGATAGGAGAAAAAAAGTAAGTCAATCTACCTGGAAAGTGTACGCCAATGCAAAAATTCCAACCATGGGCAGATGAGAGAAAAAGCCTGAATTAGTCATCCTACTAATGCTACTTTGGAGTCTTCAGAATGTTTTTTGGAAAACAAACTTCTACTGCTATAACTCCCCCTCTTCCAGTCACTGCTCTTATATACAAAGGATGCATGTGTTCAGAGAGCATACAGAAGAAGAAATTAAAAATTATGCTATTGACACAGAAGTCTCGGAATCATCAACTACGTCACTACGAGTCCTCTGGAGACAGGGCTGGTTTGACTCTTACCAACCCTGAGTTTGTGTAGACTTTTTATTTTCATTGACAGCAGTATTACAAATTTCTGCCTTTAGGATACTCCCGCGCCGTGCTAGCACAACTGTCTGGCCACAAAAACAATCTGAGAACTGATCTGGCTGAAAAATAACCTAGTTCAAAAAGTCATTCTCAGGTGGAAAAGCCTCCAATTCCAGTTCACTGCCCAGCAATGCCACCAGTAGGCCAGCACAGGGGAGACAGCAACTTAAGGACAGAAATGGGTGGCTGAAGAAAGCAGTTCCACGTGCCACCATGTGCCTAATCAGGATTTCTGTTGTGACAACTCAGTTCTGCTTGAATTTTTTTACAGAGTTGCTAATAATGTTAAAATCTCCCACTCTCAAAACTGCAAAAAAGCTTATTTTGAAATCATTATTTATTTGGAATGAGATTACTTCATAGGTCTGACTTAAAATGCAACCATGTAATTTAAATTGTCACAAATTTCTTGAACTGGAAATTTCTAAACCCTTCTACCAGTGTACCTGTAATATAATAATAATGCACTCTAAGGCTTTATCCCACTATATTTTACAGACGCCTAGAAATGTAGGTGGGAGGATACAAGATAAACTGTCATAAGAACTCATTTGCCTATAAAATAAACCAACTCCCTAGGTATTTTAAATACAGGCACCCATACCATGAAAGACTTTAAAATATAAAGCATGTATTTTATGTGGCTTAAGTTCATAATGGAGCGCCCACCAAAAATGAAAATGAAATAACCGCATGCAAAAATAAACTATATTCTGAAATTCCTTAACCAGCTCTCTACCCACAGCCCTCATCTTTTCAATGAATTTACTACAGCGTTAAGATCTTAATATTACAAATAGCAATATTACAAAATGAACCCTCCTTTTCTCCATTTTTAAACTCTTCGCTTTAAATTACTTTCATTAAGTCATCAGCTCAGCTCATCAATGTAAAACCTAAGGAGGTCTACAAACAACATCCGGACAGGACACACATTCTCAACGTTCATCTCCAAGATGCCATCCTCAAGTAAATTAGTTTATCCACATTAAATTAGGATGGATATTTATGTAAGATTAAATAGGCTTTAGTACATTCTAAGATTTTGTACTGCTAGAACTTAGCCAAGTAAACAATTAGAATATTTTAATTTTGTATAGGAATGCCCACATAGGAGCTTAAAACAATGAACTCCACTTTAAAAATTAATTCAAGCTGGTTTTCCAGAATGCCTTCATGTAAACAATACTACTCTGAAACAAGAAAAAAAATCAGTCCATTTAATCTTCACATGCGAAACACACTTGGAATTCTAACAACCAAGACAAATAGAACACATCTACTGAATATTTTTTCAGTAGGTTAATTTCTACAAATAGTTATCATGCTTAATTGGTAACAAAAAAGGTATTGCAAAAGCACATCTTGTGTTTCAGACTCAAATGAAACTAAATGAAAAGAGTCTGAAGGCTTCTAATGCTCAGAAAAATATCACTTAAACATAGAAACATATGTGTGTGATGCCATGCATATGGATTTATTATTGATTATATTAACATACGAAACATAGAAACATGTGTGATGCCATGTATATGGATTTATTATTGATTATATTAACATAAATACAACTGGATCAACACAATAAGTTCCTGATAACTTATCTTTATATTCCTGACATACGAATATTGTTAATTTTAAAAGTGTGCTCATTCAGCTACATATTGCATTAACCTTCACTTATATGGAAGTATATGAATTTAGTGAAAAGTTCATCAGTGATTTGTATTTAATGTACCAAGTGTTCACACATTATACAACAATCACTGCAAGAACAGATATGTTGCATATCAAGGCAAGCACAGTTAAACAGCTAAAATCCTTTTCTCATTAGAAAAATGCAATTTCTTTGGAAGATGAAGCAACTGCATCTTCTAGCAAGTGCATCTACCTTCCCAATTCTACCCAGTACCAAAATCAACTATAAAACTGTGCAAGAACCAAGCACAGTTCCAAAAATGGATTTATCATTTTCCTTAAAATGGTACCCTGTACACAGGACCTTATAGCAATGAAGAATTACTTTTTGCCTGTGAGATACACAGACCCGATTCACAGACAAGTTATTTCTTTATAATACGAATATTGTTAATTTTAAAAGTGTGCTCATTCAGCTACATATTGCATTAACCTTCACTTATATGGAAGTATATGAATTTAGTGAAAAGTTCATCAGTGATTTGTATTTAATGTACCAAGTGTTCACACATTATACAACAATCACTGCAAGAACAGATATGTTGCATATCAAGGCAAGCACAGTTAAACAGCTAAAATCCTTTTCTCATTAGAAAAATGCAATTTCTTTGGAAGATGAAGCAACTGCAACTCCTGATAACTTATCTTTATATTCCTGACATAAGAATATTGTTAATTTTAAAAGTGTGCTCATTCAGCTACATATTGCATTAACCTTCACTTATATGGAAGTATATGAATTTAGTGAAAAGTTCATCAGTGATTTGTATTTAATGTACCAAGTGTTCACACATTATACAACAATCACTGCAAGAACAGATATGTTGCATATCAAGGCAAGCACAGTTAAACAGCTAAAATCCTTTTCTCATTAGAAAAATGCAATTTCTTTGGAAGATGAAGCAACTGCATCTTCTAGCAAGTGCATCTACCTTCCCAATTCTACCCAGTACCAAAATCAACTATAAAACTGTGCAAGAACCAAGCACAGTTCCAAAAATGGATTTATCATTTTCCTTAAAATGGTACCCTGTACACAGGACCTTATAGCAATGAAGAATTACTTTTTGCCTGTGAGATACACAGACCCGATTCACAGACAAGTTATTTCTTTATATTCTCCACTCCACCAGAAAAAGGAGGAAACGGAGGAAAAGGGAAACTCTGGACATTAACGTCAGAGGACTTTGATATTTAAGAATAAAAAACATGCTGTGACAGTCACACACCATGCTTTTGAGAACTATTTTGAACACTAGACATATTAGATTGTCCTGGACAAAATTAATGCCTACTTCTACCTCGCACACCAGCTTCTTTTTCCATAAGAATTTAAAAACCTGAAAATATCAAAAGAAAACACAGTACAAAAAAAAATAAATCAGTGTGGTAAATTAGATTTGGAACACTAGATACAGAAATACGTAACAGTCAACAGGCAAATCAAAACATCAGGGCAGAATTAGCATGGCTGAAGAAGGCTCAAGACCCAACTGATTCTTTGTCAAGAGGCTACCAACATCAGAATAGGAAGAAGCTTATCCAAGAGCTCCTGCAGCAGCTTTCCACAGGAGCTTACAACTAGGGAATAAGAATATAATTCTAGCAGTTTGAATTTAATACTCAAACTTGCTCCGTTTCCCAGTGCTAGCGTGAGCAACTTGCTAGCTTACACCTGATTTTTCAATACAGACTGATTACAAAAGCTACTTTTAAGACCTTCTTCCAAGAAGTTAAAATAAGCAAGCAGCTTAAAGAACAAAGTCTAAAGAACAGTAAGGGAACTAAAGGGCTTTTTGAGGAAGAGACATGTAAGACCGCCAACAAGACAAACAAGCCAAAGATGACATATGGCCCAAAGAAATCAAACAGAAGAGCTAAGAGAACTAGAACCAAGGTAGTACAAAGAAAGAACACTAAGGGAGCTTGATGAGATGCAAGAGTTGTACTCTGGTCAGACAAATGAGAAGAGCAGCAATAATCCACATGTGGAACTGGGCAGAAGTTTGTACTTTAACTTCCCATTCCCTTTCAGTACCTTCCTGAAGGGCCGGCTCTGGTGACTGCGTAACAGAGGGTGAAGATCGTGGCTGTGTAGAAAGGCTTGGAGCAGGTGTCCTCACTGAGGAGATGACAGCAGAGGAAGCAGATGTTCCAGCCCCAGGCTTGGTAAATGGAAGGCTCTGGCTCCCAGAGCGCACAGGCTGTGAAGAACCACCACCACCTGAAAGCAGCAGCAGAAAGCAGGAATGCTTCCTTTGTATTTGCACAGACAATTACACAATGCAAGCAATCACATTTGGTTCCACAGTAACAACACAAACAATACAGTACTTGAAAGAGAGATGCCTTCAAACAGGTAGATATGGAAAAGTTGGGGGTTTTTTCAACTTAAATACCTATAATGTTAAAAATCCATTAAAATGAACAAACCACTCTGACAACTAGCAGCAAAAAAAGGAAAGCATGATGCAGTAAGATCAAGATTAAGCAGAAGATAAATTGATGCACTTTTGATCCATCCCCACAACTCCATGCTTTCACAGGCTTCTCTTCCCAGATAAGAGGAACACAGTCCACATGGAATAGCTCCCTCTCAACATTCCTCCCACAGGCAGGAAACCCTAGAGTCAGCTCTGCATCAGACCAGTATCCTGCCTCCCTCACAGGGCTGGCACTTCCCAATTTTGGTCCTCAATGGTGAGACCCATACTCCAGGCAATCTGTTTCAATCAACTCTGAGTATTCTGCTGAACTTCTGATGTGTTTTAAACATCTGGACTAGATATAATCTGCTTAAAGAAGTCAGATTAGCACTTTGAGAGATTTACACAGCCAAGTTGAAATTCCTATCAGATAAGGACAATATAATTTCAATTAAGTTAGCTTTTAAAAGGGTTGCTTTTCGTTTATAAATTGAAAAAATTCCTCGAATTATGATTCTTTCCAAAAAAACCTGACAGCCCAAACTGTTAAAAGTAACAATAGAAAGGAAAGGGTTTGACCAATACTACTCAGTAAACAAACACAGAAATTAAGCAAGAACAAAATTCACTGTTTGTGGCTTTAGTGTACTTATTTAAGTTACAGAATTCACTAGAGGATAGGGTTGCTTTTTGTTTATAAATTGAAAAAATCCCTCGAATTATGATTCTTTCTAAAAAAACCTGACAGCCCAAACTGTTAAAAGTAACAATAGAAAGGAAAGGGTTTGACCAATACTACTCAGTAAACAAACACAGAAATTAAGCAAGAACAAAATTCACTGTTTGTGTTTTTAGTGTACTTATTTAAGTTACAGAATTCACTAGAGGATGCACATACAATATCAACTTTGGTTCCTCTGCACATATAGCAGTGCAGCTCACACAGTCCCTGGCTTTTCTTTAAATAAGGGAGTTGATATCTGAAAGGACCTTATGGGAAAGTTGAGGCTTGCTTTATAGCAGGAAGAAGAGGAGGCAGCTTAAAATGACCCTCTGTTTATTTAATTTAGTGTCAAAATTAACAGCATACATATATTTTCACCACCTTAAGGGAACTTTTATTTACTATGCTTTATATATATTTACTATGCTTTCAAATATACTATGCTTTCAAATATGATGTTGAGCCTACACACGGCTTTTTGGCAAGTGTTACCAAAATTAAAATCCGCATTTCTCCAAAGTACATACACAGAGCATTTTCTGTTGAAATGCACTTGCTATAACCTCTGCTTCTACACATTGTGTCTAGTAGAGTCTCCACAGAAGCATCAGCACCCGTCAGCACAAATGTTCTTGTTACAGTAGTTACACAGCTTCCTCAAACTAGATATGCAAGATGACAAGGGAAGTTCTTTGTGACCTTAGTGTGCTCGCCCAGGTTTTGTAGCAGAGAGAATTGTTTATGGGCTTATGGTATTTTCCACACTTCAAGTCGATACAGCAATCCTGCAGCATCAAGAACTGCTGCAGAGCATGCTAAATGCTATAATGTCAGTGTCACGTGTTCAAAGTCCAAACCAATTTACACCCAGATTAGCTGCAGATGTAATACCTTCCTGCCAAGTACTATTATCTACTCTCAAACGAAAGTCATACAAAATATCCTTCAAAATTATGTGGATCCTTTAGATTTATTGCAAGATAACATTTTTAAACTCTGAGCAAAAAAATAACATAACTATTCCTTTGAACAAAAATCCAACCCGCAAAATTACATGTTAAACCTTATTTGGTGACTCTGGAAAGTTTTCAAAAGCTGTAAGTAACTGGGACCAAAGGTAAAACTTAGAGACAGTTAATCTTTAAAAATACATTGCAAGTAACTATCATCACATGAGACACTGTATGTTACAGTATTAGACTATTAATTTTTTCCCCCCTCTGGCCAGTAAGAAGATTGCACTCTGTCATATAAGTACTGATCAATTTAGGATGGTGTATTTTTGCTCACGACAAAGCCGGACTGAACAGCAGTTTAGAATACAATGAGTACTGGTCTGTGCATAGTTTTTAGTAAAACTACTTGAAAAAAAAAATAGGATGTACTGAAATTCCTAGGTCTGCTCTCTGTGACAATGAGTTGCTACAGCTGCAGTCTTGATTTTCTGCCCCAACCCCAATATAACATGCAATTTCTACTGAGAGATTTACCACCTCCCTGCAGCTTGGTTTTCAACAGCATCCTGTCTCCCTGACTTTCTCTCTCTCAGCTGCAGTCCTTCCCCCTTTGGCCAACCACACCTATATTAGCAGATTTACAGGATTATAGCCTACATTCCTATGGAACTGGGGCAGCAAGGACTTTAGATCCTGATCTGACATAAGGGGAAGTATGTGCATGAGATAAAGAAATTAAAGTGTCTCCTGCTCAAGCAGACTGCCTACAGTCACAGGATGGTAGACAAGATGCAGGAAACAAACCCATACCCTGTACCTGCAGGAGAAGTTTTCTATCTCACTCTCCTCAGAGAGGAGTCCAGTAAAATCTGGGCACTCTGGCTGACAGCCACACTGACAGGAAAGCACCAAGAAAAAACAGAGTGCACAAATTTCAACCCAAATAAGCTGGAAAAACATTAAGGGAAGCTACTGACCTAGAAAGACAAAAAGCCTAAGTAATACAGAGTGTGTTATTTACACAGCCTAACGCCGTTTCTGGACAGGTTTATAGCAGTGCTGTTCTGCTGAAATACAGAATTTAAAACTAGAAAATGGCATTTTTGCCAGATAAAACTAGTTTAAATGAGCAAGCTGAAAAGTCTCCAATTAAGTATTTGTATTCTACTTTATTTATACATCCTAAAGCAAAGTATTCTCACTGGCTGCTACTCATCAAAACAGGTCAAAACAGATGCCTCTTAAAATAAATTTCATCTTTTCTTCTAGTGAAACTTCAGCAAGCTTCACTGAAAATACTTCTGTGATTGCAGACAGTTGCTGCCAAAGTTTTAGAAAAAGATTTTGTTGCAGTTCTGCATCCTCAGTACGTAACATACAACAGCTCATGGGTTTGATCTCAATATATTCAGTTCTGGGGGACTTCCAAGGCCCTACGCAAATTGGTTTACTTAAAAATCCAATTTTAAATCCAAGGCTTAGAACTTTCCTGATTCGAGCAGAGAAAAATTCAGATATCGCCAAACTTCTGAAAAGCTTCCCTCAGCCTAAGTTTCCTGAGTAAGTCCTGTTTGAACACACACATTTTATTAAAAACATGACATTCTTCTGTGTAAACTATGTCTCATTTTCATCACAGAGAGCTCTCAGTGTTCACTGAGCAAACAAAACTGCTGCTGAAAAATACATGAAGACAGTAGTATCCTGCATGACAGTCTTCCTAAGATTGGCTTATTTATAATTTAAGGATTGCAAGGGGTCTTCTTTCACAGCACAGCAGCAACAACAGCAAACTTTCTTATTGGCACTCTAATAGCAGGACAGTGTATCAAAATTTCTTTACATGAACAGTTACAGAGAGCACGCTCAGGAATTTCACTGTATCTTTTTTTTTTTTTAATGGAATCAAATTATTCCATCTGAGAACAGTAAGACTGCACTGGGAAATGTAGAAAGCATAACAGTGTGCAAAAAGTAGCGTGCATCAATTACGCCAGGACCAATTACTTGTCATCTTTTATTAGCCAGGTGTTGTAGCAACTGAATTTTTAATATATTTCAACCAAAGATGTTGAAATCTAGACTAATAAAAAGTTGGATATTACTGGAGGCGGTCTGTTTAGCCCCAGACTTTAAAAATCATTTAAGTCTTTAGAATTTAGTAATACAACACCCAACTCTTCCTTCAGCCTAGCTACTGTTTGCTACCTCTGTTTGCTCTTTCCCAGTTAGTAAACACAGTAAATTTGTATGCTGAGGTTTAACCAGGATTCAGAGGGAAAACAGTTATTCTCTAGTTAAATCAGCTCCACAATCCAGTCCACTGTGCAAGGAAGCACAGGGGGTGCTTATCTCAGCACCTCTACAAGCTTAGAACGAATCTGAGTGTGGTTTAAGTAACTATGCCTACTGTGTCCAGCTCTGGAGTCCTCAACACAGAAAGGACATGGACCTGTTGGAGTGGGTCCAGCAGAGGGCCACGAAGATCATCAGAGGGCTGGAGCACCTCTCCTGTGTAGACAGGCTCAGAGAGTTGAGGTTGTTCAGTTTGGAGAAGAGAAGGCTCCGGGGAGACCTTATAATGGCCTTCTAGTACCTGAAGGGTGCCTACAGGAGAGCTGGAGAGGGACTCTTTTTGAGGGACTATAGTGATAGGACAAGGGGTAATGGTTTTAAGCTGAAAGAGGGGTGATTTAGATTAGATATTGGGAAGAAATTCTTTACTATAAGGGTGGTGAGACACTGGAACAGGTTGCCCAGAGAAGCTGTGGCTGCCCCATCCCTGGAGGGGTTCAAGGCCAGGCTGGATGGGGCTTGGAGCAACCTGGTCTGGTGGGAGGTGTCCCTGCCCAGGACAGGGGGGCTGAAACTCAATGACCTTTAAGGTCTCTTCCAACTCAAACCATTCTATGATTCTATAACTACTGCAAATCTTACTATTCTGGAATGATATTTGCATTCTGTCAAGACCAGCTGTAGATTCTGTGGTCAACGTTATCAAGTTTTTTTGGACGGAGTTTTAAATTCATTTTTATGCTCAGCCTCGAAATGCCATTAACTTCAGAAGCTTTTTACAAATCTTTTTCTTTTTTAAACAATATTTTGTTTCATGTTTTTGACATATTAAAGAAAACTGCGCAGAGCACCTCACAGAGACAGAATTCAAATCTACCAATATTTGAACTACTGAAACTGAGCTGAAGCATGACACTCCACATCCTACTCTTGGGGGGGAAAAAAAGCAATATTAAAACTAAATTCAAACTTGGTATGGATTGGACAAGTTTGATTTAAGCTTAACTGTTTTTCTCAGGCAAAGCTTTACCATCATCAAAACCATGTCCTTTCCTAATTCCTTGGTTTTAGAAAACCTCTGCTACAAGGACTCCTAAAACAATTGCAATGTTAAACAATAATCTGAGCTATCTGGCATAAAAAAAAGGGAACATTCTACAGTTCTCTGTCTCATGAGACAAGGAAAGTCATCAGTCTTGCACAGTCTACAAGTCAAAACTGCACAAAAAGTCAGAAAATTACCAGGAGGGAAAAAAAGCCACAGAATTTTCCTGCACATGTTACTGCTCTCTAAGAGAGCGAGATGTTTCAACGTGGAGGGATCCCCACATCTCTATTTTCTTCCATTCTTCCTACAAGCCCTGCCTACCCTATGAACTTGTACTCGGTTCTGCACGAAGCACAAGCTGCAGCTACTAGCAAGGACTAAAGCATACTTGCCCTCAACTTTCACCTTCCCAATTTCATTTTCTATAGCTAGATCCAAACTGAAAACATCGAGATGTTCCTCACAAAAATCAGCTAAAACCACCCAAATTGCGCTCTCATTCAAATGCTTACCAAAAAATATTAATTAAAAAAAAACAACCCAATTGCCTCCAAACCCACATAAGCTCTACTTCTTCTGAAGAGAAGACTGCATGCATGTTCACTTAGGTAAAATATAAAGAATCAATATAGATCATGACTTAATAAAATTCTCTAGCCAGAAAAAGAAAAAAGTACCTTTGTGATGCAGAATATGTCTATTAATATTCAGAATAGACATACTTCAAAACCGCACAAAAGAATTCCTTTCCAAGGCCACTTAGATGAAAAAAAACCCCACCCAATAAACTAGAACCATCCCCTAAACATTGTCTTTTTCTGTACCTCTTAATAGAAAGACATCAGTGAAATGATTAGCTGCTATTGTGAGGACTTCGTTAACCAAATGGGAAAGGCTTCAAGAATGAATAGGACAGAATTCAAAATTACAATACAGAATCCCACATAATGAACGAGCACAAATCAACCAGACCACATGATTCCCGATGTTTTCCAGACACATCAGGTTCAGTAACCTTCAAATACCACCATACCTGTGTTTATTTGGTTGTTTACTTTAGCAACCGACCCGGCGAGGTTCCTGCCGAAGCCGTCTTGAACAGACGGAGCAGATGAAACAGTTGATAACGTGGAGTTATATCCCACAGGAACGTGCTGTTGAAGGGAATGAGGTACTGATGTACTCTGGCTAGAAAAGGTATTTGTCTCTTTGGACTGTCCAACAGCAGGTAGGCTCTGAGAGGTAAATGCTTGCCCGTACACACTGCCAGCAGCCGCAGGATAGGGAACATGAGGATACATGGCACTAGAAGCCAGAGGCATGGCGTAGTGATCAGAATTAGGGGGAAATCCCTGAGATGCAACTGAAGAGCTGACAGAAGTGCTGTAGTGATTACCAAACGCTGAATATGACTGCTGAGCACTCGTATGCAAGTAGGATGCAGATGATATTGCTCCTTGAATAGGTCCTTCAGCTGACCCCACCGTATGGGGAGGAGTTTTATTGTACAACTGCTGGGATTCCTGTATATTCAACACATTGGTACCCACAGAAGGTGCCATGACATTTTGTGCTGGTGCTGAATAATAAGTAGGGTAATAATTGGCTCTATACTGATTATCCAAATGTGAAGCAGCAGCTTTATTGGGCACTTGGGAATAGTGTCCTGAGGGCACACTATAGTTTGGAGGATGCGAGCCATAGCCAGAAGGGAACGGCATCCGACTTTGCACAGGACCTGAAACAAAGAAAAAATATCACATGTATTAAAGGTGCATCTGACAATAGACTCTATATTTACTCTGACTAACAAACAATTGGTTTCTTCTTGTTTTCCGTCACTATTTTTGAGGTCAATTTCCTTCAGCAGAAAGAGAACAAACCAAGTATAATGCATGCAAAATACAGTATTTTAAGTAATTCACAAACACACAGATAAGCAACAGAAAAATAGATTGCTTCTGTTATCCAAGACTTTATGCCTCACATTTGTACTTTTAATATTTTTTAAAGTTTTTGAGAGGTTGATATCTAAACAAATAGTGAGCAACAATAAGCATCAAACTTCTTTCTAAGGATCTGAATACAAGAGTATGCCTTAAAAAACCTGACTGAGCATGGAACAAAAAAAAGCTGTAGTCAAACCAGTATGACAACTGTATACTTCTTTACAAATCCTCAATAAAGTGACCACGAAAAAGCGCTGCAGGGCAGTTATTTCTGCCTTCTATGTTCTTTTACATTATGCTTTTATGAAAACCGACATTTTTATGAAACTACAGAGTATCTTGCAAGGCACTTCATTCCTGTTTACTGCCTGATACTTACATGAGATATGGGAGATGTTGGTATCAGAGAAACTGACCTCTGCTGTCACTACAACTGGTTCTCCAACATTAGAGGTTAATTACATACTGGTCCAGCATGGGTCAAACAAGTACTTGTTTGCTAGAGACTGAATGTTAACTGTGTCCAAACTATTTTTTTCCAACTGATCTATGGTAAATCTCAAAAGTTCTTTCTCCGAACCCTGCTTTTATTCTCTAGTGAACCACAAATGCACTTCCCTGGATAACTTCCTCTCTTAAAATTACCACACCCTACTGCCTACGTCATGCTGAATGCCTGTGGTGTTATTTCCCAGTCCTCGATCAACAAAAACACAAGCACAGCACTGAGCGACTCACAAATCTAACCAGCGAGTGGTAATAATAAATTGTTTCTTTCCTCCCTGATATTTACAATTATTACAAGTACTATTTCTCATCTCAAAATTTTGAAAAATCACCGTTCTCAAACTAACACCCAGATGTTCCAGGATTAACTTGCAAGGCAATTTTCATAATGAATTTGTTAATGGCATCTTGTAAGCAAGGAACACACTGTCCAAAATTGCTTTCTGATAATACTAAAAATGCCTGTTCATAATTGACAAGCCAACAAGTTGAGTAGAAGTGAAAGGACCTAAAAACATGAACAACAGTAACTTGGACTGCTGGGTCAAAAGACAGGCGTTTTGGGAGAAAGCATAAGGAGCTTAAATAAAACCCCAAACAACCACATCCTGAGCTTTGAGGAGAATATGTAACTACGCTTCTGATTCACTGTTTTCTTGAAAAAGTGGAAGCTGCTTCACAAAGCTGTGTAGTTTATTCTCCTTTAAGGTAAAATTATTTTGAGTTAGCAAGTCATTAACAGCTGCGTGAACTTGGGCAGACTTTTGACCTGCTTTTTTAAAGTCTGAAAGAGCAAATTCAAAAATACATCAATAACTTATGTCTCTCTTATTGCTTTAAGCAGTTATATCACTTCAGATGGCAAGAAAAGATGTCTTCTCTGAAGAGTCTGCGCATTTGTTCTACTAAAATATGCAGAATAAACTAACTGAGCAGGTATAATTTAGAAACTGGGTTAGGAGCACCTGACTTCTAAATAAAAGGTTGCATATCAAATCACCTACTGCAAAGTCTTGCAAGGATCGAGCTGTAGTTTAAAAACACATGCCATAAATAAAGACACATATTATATTTTTGATCTCAAACCCCTGGTCCTTTAAAAGCAATTTCTACAGTAACAGATGAAAGATTGTTCCCATTATATGAAATGAGTTTTTTGTCCATTTGATTATGAAGAATGAGTAGAAAGTAATTTTTGTACTGCAATTAGTAGCTGAAGCTCCTAATGACTGGATAATTGGACAGTTTTCAACACTGGAAATCTGGGTACATCTTCAGTGTCATTTTGAAACCTGGTTAATTGCACAATCTGTCCTCGTGTCTCAGGTACTCTACCATCCTTCCAATAGTAGCTGAAGCTCCTAATGACTAGATAATTGGACAGTTTTCAACACTGGAAATCTGGGTACATCTTCAGTGTCATTTTGAAACCTGGTTAATTGCACAATCTGTCCTCGTGTCTCAGGTACTCTACCATCCTTCCAAAACACCTGACAAATCTCTTTCAGAAAAATTCCATAAGAAGAGTTGAAAACCTCAGCTGCACACAGAAAGTAATACTGCTAAAACAACATCTCTATAATCAAAGCCATGAACCAAAGCAATACAGAGACATTAACAGGTGAACCCCACAAGCCTTATAACTTAACTTTGTAAAGCTTTGCTTGCTAGTGCCACATTTATTTGGATTTTTCCATCCTGACATTCTCTCACCCGAATAATTTAGCCAACTACCATGTACCCTACCTACATGTAGTCTACATATCCTCCGCCACCATCTTCCTATAGCCAAGAAGACCTGTTAGTTTTCTGTAACTTTTAAAAGTTACATCCCTTTACCCACCACAGCTCCCCTGCATATGCCCTTCTAGGATGGATGGGAGGGCAGCGCTACTGTGCCTTGTTAAGCTCTGCATGCCCTTAATTGTCAGCAAACAAGCCAGCAAATCAAGCCACTGCTGAGCTCTCACAACAGCTCTGTCATGGAATTAATGTTTAGCTCCCTCATTCACCCAGCTTCCCATTTTCTCAAAACATTTAGGGATTTTCTGTCTTTCAGACCTCTATCCTCTTTATCAGCAAAAGATCCGAAGTCTGAGGATGGATGGATAACAAGGCTAAATAATGTCATAATTAAAATTAGGGTCCCAAAACGCTAGTAGAGATACCAATGGTGATCTTAGAAACCAGCTGTAGACAACACCAGACAAAAATCTTCTGGAGAAATATTGGGATTCGATGTGATTATTCTCTCAGCGCTACAATTCAATCCATCAAACTGCTAGTACTGAAACGCTTCATCACTACTGGAAAAGCAAATCATCTTTTAGTACTGACTAAACAAGCAACATTATGCTGAAATCAGGAAACAGGTAATTTTTCACTTAGATAGAAAGCCACCCGTAAGACTACTGCAATAAAATTGCCTCGAACTTGCAAGACTTTAGCCAGAAGAATTGTATTTTAAAGCCACAGTTATGAACAACACCCCAAACAAGGGCCTCTTTTTTTCAGCATAGTGTCAAACTGAGAGCACTGCAAAAGAATAAAAAGAAGAAGTTTATTTATTTTTTTTAAAACCCTAAGTTATACTAAAACGAAAGTCTCCAAGAGTCTGAAATGGACTTGGTCATTGGATCAGGCAAAACTTATTAAAAATAAAGCAGAACATCCTTTTTAGTATCACTGTACATGCAATAAGTTGCTTGCTTTCTCAGGAAAACAGCTTCTCTTTTATCAGACCCCAGTAAGTTCAGTTTTACTTGAAAAACCCACATTTTATGAAATTAAAACACAGGGGACTCTGAATATCTGAAAGGATGCACTAGTGTATTATTTCAGCCAATACAGAAATAGCTGCATTCACTTAAGTATCTTACATTTAAACTCTATTGCTTTTGAAATTGAATTTCAAAAGCAATTACAATCTTTGTGAAATTTAGTTTCTATTGGACAGAATGGAAATTTCCAGTACAGTTTTTTTCTGTTTCTATTCCCCTCTACTCCCCCTCCTATTACAATTTTGAAAAGAAAAAAGCCTCAAATCCTGTGTTATAACTTCAGAAGATTAGTACTTTAAGATGACAGATACACTAAATTCTGGAATGCTATTGCTAAATGACACAAAATGACAAATTCAGAGCTCTTGCCAACAAATCATCAAATACACATAACTGTAAAATACCTTAAGGAACACTGAAGCCAAAATTAAGTTGAGTAGTTACCAAGATATACAATAAAAATTCAAGACTATTACAGAACATTGTATAAATGTCTTAGAATTAAAGAAAGCGTTTCGCAGAAAATAAATGGTCTACTACAGGGTTGTAAACATGCTGTATTTAAGAATACGAGCAGCAACATGGAGTTAGTTCATTAAAATAACAAGAAGTAATGATGCCTCTTTAAAATTACTGTTTCATTCACTTAAAAACACAAGAAGAATGTACGATGTCACGTTTCTACTTATTTCTGTGAAACACACCTCCAGGTTATTGATGCTATAGTAGCTGTGTCCTGATAAGGACATGATTTTCATTAAAAGACAGAGAAGTTGGCATGTTCTGAATAATTTTGACAAAACTCAGCATTATAATATGAAAGTTTGGACACATCTGAGGCATTAGAATCTTCCTGAAACCTACCATTAATTACCTTCCTTTTCATTCATTCCAGTGACTTTTGCATTACCTGCAAACTGACTCAAAACCTACTTTAGGGGCATGTAAGTGCTTATTGCCTAACTGCCCCTTTGGACATGAGAAATATTCACGAGTAAAAAATTTTGCAGGTCGTTACCCTGCATACTGATCTGTGCACACCCGTGGACCAAACACCCTGACCACAAAATAAAGGATTTAAGAGTAGGAGCTGCAACTCTACGCAGGCAAGAGGCCCAAATTAGATACCAAAGCATCATTAGGTGCCGACGAAGATCACACAGGCGTTCCGAGAAGTTAACGAGGTGCATTAATAAAGAACCGATTTTGCAGCGCACCAATTTAAAAACGAGGCACGGCACGCTAATTACTTTAATTGATAGCGCAGTTAGTCTCAGCGCCTCTCCAGCTGAAAAACAAGCCAGTGTTTTGCCACTGTGAACTATTTCACCTTTGTTTTCCAGCGACCCCACGTTTCACTGGTCCCATCTTGCTGATTCAGCCCCAAAACCCCCATAAAGTTGCGTGAACACCCACCTACTTACTACTTTTATGTTCATAAACAGCCACGAAGGAAGCGAGGGGCTCTTCACCCACACTACGTGGGTTCTCTGCCCACACTCCGGGCCCGGCCGGCGGAGCCGAGGCCTGGCGGTGCCTTGGCCTCCGGAGCATTCCCGGAACGCCACCGAGCAGCCGCCACAGCCCAGTTGGCCAGGGGGGAAGGAAGCGGAGACCCCCGGAGACCCCCCCCCATCCCTCTCCTTTCCCTCAGCGAGGCCGGGAGAACCCGCACCGCCTTTAAAGTTAAGTCCACACGCCGCGGAGGCGGCCCAGGGTCCCCCCTCGGCCTTTCAGAGAAAGGGCTTCTAACTTAGGCGCCGGCTCCGCCGCGGCCCACCGGGCCCTCCGCCGGCCCCCGCGGCCTCCCGCCACCCCGGGACCACCCTCACCTCCCTCCCCCGGCAACGTAGCTCGCCCCGGGGACCCCGTGGGCAGCCTCTCCCCGCTAGGCCCCGCGCAGGCAGGGTGCCGGTCCCTCACCGTTCTGGTAGCTCGGCGCGCCGCTCTGAGGGGCCGCGGCCTCCCGGAAGGCGCCGGGCCCGCCCGGGTAAACGGCGGCGGCGGCGGCGGCACCGGCGGGCCGCGGCGGTAGCCCGGCGGGTGCGGACATGGCTCCTGGCAGCTCTCCTTCACTTCGGCCCGCTTCCCTTCCTCCTTCTTCTCCGCCCCGACCGCAGAGCGGGCGTTGAGGGTCGCCAACCGGGGCCTGGTGGAGGTGAGGGGGGAGGCCGAGGCCGCGGCCGCCCCACGGGAGCGGGGAGGGCAGGAGCGCGCAGGCGGGCCCTGAGCGCCGCTCCCGCCGCCGCCGCCCACAGCGCCCCCTGGCGGCCCCGCCCTGCTCTGCCCGGCGTGAGGGAGGCCGGGAGCCGCGCCTCACCGGGCCGCCCTTCCCGCCTGGGGTCGGCGGCCACAGCCCGGCTTGGGCCACCGGGAGCCCCGGGGAAGCACTTAACGTGACCCGCTGCCTGAGGGGAGGAGCGGCGCGGGGGGGCCCGCACGCCTTGTGTGCGTTTGTGTGACCCTGCGGGACAGGCCGGTGCAGGGTGAGGTTTCTCCGTCCCTGTCTCCAAGCACAGACGTGTGCGTATAGAATATATACCTTCACCCTCCATCTTTTTGCCTCGTTGAGGCTTTATTGTCTATAGCGACAATGTATGCTAGCTATATCTTAAGAATATATGCACCCTGGAACACGTAGGGGTGGTGTATGTGCTCTGCGTGCGGGGACAAGGCCTCACAAGGTGAGGTGAGGTGAGACCTCCCCTCTGTAATTATTCTATATATACAGGCAGAAAAGACTCGGTGAGGCAGGGTGAGCTGAGGCCAGGCTTTTCTTTCTGTATTAGGAGCACACGCTTGTGTATTCTCTTTTTTTCCTGGTTTGAGCGACGTGAGGACTAGTTTCTCTTCTAACGCTGGGGAAAACTGCACTTTTAGGAGACTCTCGTGTCTAAATTTGTGAAAATATTTACTTCATAGCCAGCTGTGCTCTGTGGGATTCAATCAAGGCCTCGGTGTTTTCGAGCCTTGCTGGGTGCAGGGATGAGGAGGAGTAAGGCCTGGGCGCTTGACCCAGGCTGGCTGACAGGATTATTTCACACCCTAAATGTCACATTAAGTATAAATCATAAAGTTTGCTGCTCTCACTGCCTTGATGGCGGCGGTCCAGAGAACTTCTTGCCCCAGTGCCAGACCCCTGAGCCCTTCCCTTCCTCCCAAAGCCATAGCACTCACAGCATCCAACATTTGCTGTCCATTGCCAGGAGTCTGTGGGATTCAATCAAGGCCTCGGTGTTTTCGAGCCTTGCTGGGTGCAGGGATGAGGAGGAGTAAGGCCTGGGCGCTTGACCCAGGCTGGCTGACAGGATTATTTCACACCCTAAATGTCACATTAAGTATAAATCATAAAGTTTGCTGCTCTCACTGCCTTGATGGCGGCGGTCCAGAGAACTTCTTGCCCCAGTGCCAGACCCCTGAGCCCTTCCCTTCCTCCCAAAGCCATAGCACTCACAGCATCCAACATTTGCTGTCCATTGCCAGGAGTGCACAGCTTCCCCCTGATAGAATTGGCTGAGTATAATTCTTGTCTAGTTTATATTTATATTGTCAGGATCAATATTGGTTCTTCAGTATTATTAATGTTAATTATTTAGTCTTATCCTATTAAATTTATTTATAGGTCAACCCTTGTGTTTTCTTGGTTTTCCCCAATTTCCTTTCCCCGGTGGGGAGGGGTCATTGGGTGACAGAATAATTGTCTAAACAACAATAAGTTGTTGTGGGTTTCTGGAACCATAACATGTCTATATAGAATGTATCTACTATCTACATAGACAGACAGGCCTTGACAAGGGAGAATGAGGCAAGATAAGGCAAGGCTTTACAGTCTTTGTACAGAATAGATACTATATATTTCCTAAACCAAACAGAAAGTGTTGGTGAGCTTCCCCCGTTGGCAAAGGATCTCCATTCAATTTAGCACTTTCCACAGTCAATCAAACGCTAAACCATATTAATTTTGACTGTGTGTCTGTCTCTACCACCTATCTCATTCACTCAGATGCTATTCAAGACTGAATTAATTGCTCAGGTTCTTTTATTATATACAGAAGTTGAAAGCACAATAACATATACTGGTGATTGTATTGTCAAGACTATGTTCACAAAACTAAGTCACCTTTACTTGTTACATGTATTTGACCAATTCCTTCCCTTTTTGTATGCTTTTTTTTCCCTACTGATTACTATGCACGTTTGTCATTAAATACTTTAATACTTTTTTAATTATTTTGCCTGTATGCTAAGCACCTGGTCTGGCTCTGACCGTTATTACCAAGCATACAGGGCATCTTTAAATATTGGAGGAACTGACTGTATTTTAAACTTTCACAGCTTTCACACCCTATCAAACTATGTAGAGGTGTCTTGCACAGGCCCCCATTAGTCCTTTAATAGACTGTAGATCCATATCTGAAAGAAATAATTTCTTCTCCATGTCCTTATAAGGTAGGGCAATAAATAATGGGCTCAAAATGCAACAAAGTTCAGGTGAGCTATTAAGAAAAAAACCATTACCTTAAGATACTAAAGGACTAGGTGACATGGGAATGGTGTGACGTTGCCATAACTGAAGGACTCTTAACAGGGGTTGCACAGACATGTTGAGAGTCAGATTGTCATCCAGCTTTGGTGCAAGTGACCTCTTGAAATCCCTCCCAGGGCTATATTGTTGTGATAGGGTTAAGAAATTCCACTGTTAAAGCTGTTCTTCCTTCTTTGCAAACCATCCTCCATCCCACACCAAATACTTGTGTGAAATGAATTCATGACAGGAAAATAATTCAGAATATGTCTTTTCATTCTCAGTGCCCTTTTAGAAGGTAATGGTTTGCTTGTACTGCAACTATATTTTGTCACATGATGCAACACATGTGAATCTGTGTGTTGACAAAGGTTTTCTCTTTCCAAAGTCTTATTTCTTTTAACTCCTTGCACTGTGAGACCGTAAATACACCCTATATCACAATCTGTGAAAATTGCACATCAATTTATGATCATGCACAAGGGGATATATATCATTGTGCTAAAAGCAAGAAGAGCCATCTGGGAATTTTCCCAATATTTTGAATGCTTTTACAAAACCTTTTACGTGGCTTAATTAATTATTTTCTACAAACAAGAATTACACTGTGGTTAAACCCATTAATTCCTAGGAAATCCAGATGTGTTGGCAGCTAGAACACAAGCCCCTAATGGAAATCCACTGTAAACTCAAATCCATTATTTTTCTTTATCCTCATTTATAATGAATTTGAATGCATTGGCAAGAAATGAGTGTTAGTGTCTGCTGTTTATGCTATCATGCAGCAAATAACACATGAGCTGGCTCACCTAGGCTATTGTTCCTGCTTAGTTTAGTAACAAACTTACGGGACTAATAAATTCTTTGGCCAGGAGGTGAAGCTTAATTACTAGTAGATTTATTTTGACCTTTGCTCTTGTGAGACCCCACCTGGAGCACTGTGTCCAGCTCTGGAGTCCTCAACACAGAAAGGACATGGACCTGTTGGAACAGGTCCAGTGGAGGGCCACAAAGATGATCAGAGGGCTGGAGCACCTTTCCCATGAGGACAGGCTGAGAGAGCTGGGGTTGTTCAGCCTGGAGAAGAGAAGGCTCCGGGGGAGACCTTATAATGGCCTTCCAGTACCCGAAGGGGGCTCCAGGAGAGCTGGGGAGGGACTCTTTGTCACGTAGTGGAGTGATAGGATGAGGGATAATGGTTTTAAATTGGAAGAGGGGAGATTTAAATTAGATACCGGAAAGAAATTCTTTGCTGTGAAGATGGTGAGACACTGGGACAGGTTGCCCAGAGAAGCTGTGGCTGCCCCATCCCTGGAGGGGTTCAAGGCCAGGCTGGATGGGGCTTGGAGCAACCTGGTCTGGTGGGAGGTGTCCCTGCCCAGGGCAGGGGGTTGGAACTTCATGATCTTTAAGGTCCCTTCCAACCTGACTATGATTGTATGATTCTGTGATTCTATGATTCTATGATTCTATGATAAGTTAGTTTCTCATGACACAAAAAAGTAACTCTGTCATTTGGATTTGGAGGAGTAAAACATGAAAGTGTATCTGATAAAAGGGGCATTAAATGTCCAAACCCAGAGAGCAAAAGTTATTTTCGTGATGAGGAACATCTGGGAACAAAATCATTATAGAATCACAGAATGGTTTGGGTTGGAAGGGACCTCAAAGATCATCGAGTTCCAACCCCCCTGCCCTGGGCAGGGACACCTCCCACTAGAGCAGGTTGCTCAAGGCCACATCCAGCCTGGCCTTGAACACTTCCAGGGATGGGGCATCCACAACTTCCCTGGGCAACCTGTTCCAGTGTCTCACCACCCTCATAGTAAAAAATTTCTTCCTGAGATCTAAACTGAGTTAGAAATAATTTTGAGCTTTAACATAACTTAGCCAAGTCTCTTCCACTTTGCCATATACTTCAGAAACAGAAAGCCAAAATTAGGTCCTTTTATAATCACTGTCAAAAAAATATATCTGCAGGTCACCCTAGCTCACTAATACATGTCTAATTGTTCTCCTGCTTCTCTTACAGGAACTGGGCCACTTCAGGGCAAAGTAACAAAGCTTCACTTTTTCACAATCAGAAGTCCCAGACTGTGTTAAAATCATGGTATTTGGGTAAGTTGCCTGTAGTTGCTGTAGTGCGATTGCTTTCTAGAGTGAGAAAGGGAAATCAAGACTCTTGATGTTACTGTAAAGCGTGCTTCTGATTGGGTGACCTCTGCGTCTGACTGAAGGATAAATCCCTGCATCTGCTGGGTGAGATCTGTGCTATACTTCATTTGTAGCTGGCTAATTAGTAGAAGAGGCCCCAGAGTAGTTGTGCTGCACTGCAGATAAAAATCTTTTACAGATCTAAAACCTAGCAGAGAATGAGAAATCAGTTGTGATGCAGCTCAGCTTTCTTACGGATGTACAGGTTTAGTTTCCTTGTAGTTTATTTTCTTATTATCCAGGTAACTCCAGAGGAGTTCTTTGTCTCAGCAATGAGCAGGGCTTCTGTTTGCCTGCCTGAAGCACTTGGTGTGTATTCAGGTTGGGAAAACAAAACTGAACTGTGCTTAATTTTTGTGGGTTGTTTTAACTTTCCCTTTCTTTTTTTTTTTTTTTTTTCCTGGGGTATTTATGCCTGTAATGGAAAAGGCTCAAAATCCAGCAGGAACTGCCCATCAC